GTGTGTGTGTGTGTGTGTGTGTGTGTGTGTGTGTGTGTGTGTTTTATTAGGTGTGTGGAAACTGAATGATTCTTAACAATGGCTTTATCTCATATTAGCCTGATTTTTATATCCAAAATATAGCTATATTCATGTAGCAAGGAACTTGCAAGTTTTCCTTATTTCTCAAAAATAAAAGTGAACCAAAGACACAAATGGCACGAGACATGACCTCTGAGTAGATGGTGTGAGGTGCAGTCAAAAGTAGGTGTGCCGTGTTACAACAAGCTAAAACAATTCTGCCCAGAGAAGGGTAAGATGAAGCCCAGTGGGATGATGAACACCTGTGATCCCAGGACTTGGGAGACTGAGGCCCAAGAACCGAGAACCTGGGCCACACAGGGAGACGCATCTCAAAAAAAAGAGAAAGATAGGAAAAAGAATGAAAGCTTTTGTTTGCGACTCTCATTTTTTAAAATCTTATTTATATTTTATGTTTGTGAATGTTCTGCCTGCATATATGTGTGCTTGCTACACGTGTACCTGGTACCCAAAAGTGGGCTTCAGAACCCCTGGAACTAGAGTTACAGAATGTTGTTTGCTACTGTGTGCATGCTGGAATGTGATCCCAGGACCTCTGCAAGAGCAGCCAGTACTTTTAACCACAGAACCAGAAGCTTGGAGTCTGACTCTTTCATTTGTAAAGATGGTGGGAGGAAATGCAAAATATCAAATGTCCATAAAGTTCTTGGAAAATCATTTTTGAATATATGAATTGCAAACTAAGAGCATAAAGGTTATTTGTGTTATCATCTTTAAAATAGAAACATTAATTCTTTTCTATAGGGGGTCTTTTAAGGGTGATGTTTATCGAGTCTTATAAAGAATAGGCTGGTTTAGAACCCCTGATCCTCCTGCCTTCATTTCTCAAGAGTACTGGGATTATGGGTGTGTGGCACTACATCCAACAAGATAAGCATATTACATTTTTAATTTTAAGGAAGATATGTATCCATAAATTTTGAATGTCATCTTCTTGACTGTAAACTTTGCATACTCCGTATCAGTGCCCAGGGTACCAGAGAACTGTTTAGGAAATATTTGAAGCTTTGTTCTCAAGATACTTAGATTTTTTTTTTCAAGCGACAATCTAATAAAAACATGAACATTTGTATTTGCCCCACCTTTCATCAGACACTTGGGCATCACTCTGTCCAACTGTTGTCATTAATTTGATAACAGAAAATGGTTCTAAACTGAAAGATGAACATGCTTACCTTATGCAAAGGCATTTGGAGTTTACAGAAAGTAATGAGAGACCGGCATGTTTGTGCTTAATCCTTAAATTCAGTAAAATGAAAGGCTAAGATTTTTTAAGTACATTTTTATAACCAAAATGGGTTTTCTCCATAGCACCTTTGAATTCATTAGTTTAGAACTGCTTTTAATTTGTTCTTTCCCATGAGGGCCATTATATTTTTTCTCCCGTCAGCCTAAGAAAGCCGGCAGGTGGGGTGTTTGTCACCGGGCTCATTCCCTCGTTAAAAAGTGCCTTAACCACTATGCACAAAATATTATTTATAATAGCTCTTCACCACCATTAACAACTTTAAAGCAACTTGCTTTAAACATTGCCAGTGCAGATAGAGAAAATGTTTCCTTCCCTCTCACTATGAAATGATAAGACCTCTTTTGTACTATTTTCTAAGTCATTACAATAACTATTTTCAGGTATCTTCAGCAAATAGGTTTTTTAAAAAAATATACATTTTCCCCAGTCTATTGCAATAGTTCTGACAGTATATTATGCCTCAGTGTCTGGGTCTAGCTATGTATAGCTTACAGCCTCATTTACTGTAATGCATTACCTGAATAACATAATCGCATCTGTAGCTATGGTACAAGGCCAGAAAGTGCATCACCTTCGTGGGTTATGACTACTTAAATGGCTTGTTCATAAATGTTCTTTTACTAATACTGGCAAAACTTTTAGTAATTAGATGTCAAAGAGGAGTGAATCAGACCCATGGGTTTTTTTTTTCCTACTAAAATGTTAATATATAACTTAAGTCAAACTCTCATTGTGATTATATTTGTACTCTAACAAGAAGAAGATTTTCATGGTGAATTCACCCTGTTGACTTCTGTTTGTTGCAGCTATGGAAGCTTCCTACTGTGTTTGCCTTTTACTTCACTTTTCAAACAAGATGTGATTTTCATCAAGAAAGGTCAAGGGAGAATGAATTGCAGAATAGTTATGCACACACTTTGGATAAAACTGGTTTGCACACATCATAAGGCATTGTGTGTGGATAGCTTTAAAGCCTGTATGAGTATCTTCTCTGTTTGCAAACACAGATTTCTCTGAGTTGAAAAAGAAAATGTTTATTGTTCTAGGCTGTTCGGTGTGACAGGAAACTGTGCTGCCTGCAGCAAGCTCATCCCTGCATTTGAGATGGTGATGCGTGCCAAGGATAATGTGTACCACCTCGACTGCTTTGCATGTCAGCTTTGCAACCAGAGGTAAGTTCATTTCATTTTGGCCTCTCGGAAACAATGCTGCTTTCCAGGCTGGTTATTGATTTAATAGGTGGGAACGATCACAGTACACTTTGTTAGAGCAATTAATCTCAGCATTTTGGTGTTCTGCAAACATTCATTCAATGCCGGAAACAAATCACCAAGGAGAAAGGTCATAAGACTAGCTTAAGGAAAAGGGCATCGTGTCACAGCCTGCAGTTGGACTCTTGAAGTACTTCTAATGTCCAGATTTGCCACTGCACTCTCCTTCCTGTTTTCCTGTTTCATAATGTGGCGATTTTAACTATCTCTACATCGGGCTGGGGAGATGACTCACCGAGTAAAGTGTTTCCCATACAAATGTGAGGGCCTGAGTTTAGGTCCCCAGAACCCTTTTAAAGCTGGACAGGGCAGCACATTGCCATAATCCTAGGGTTCCTACCAGGAGATGGGAGGCAGAGAGTGGAGAGTCCTGGGAACTCTGGAGCCAATCAGCCTGGTATGCTTATTGGCAAACAAGAGACTCAGTCTCAGACAGGGTGGAGGTGAGGACCAACACCCCAAGTTGTCTGCTGACCTCTACACATGCACAGTGGCACACAGAGACACACATTATACACATATACACACCACACATTATATGCACATATATACACATACATATCATATACACACATGCACACATCATACATGCACATTCACACATGTACACAAATACACTTATACATGCATACCATACATATATACACCATACACACATATATATCATACATACACATACACACATCATACACACAAATATGTACACATATGCACATACACATCATACTGATCATATACACATGCACATGTATTATATATGCACATACATTATGCACACAAATACAATAAAATACACACTCATATACATACATGTACTCACATACACACAAGCATGCATAATATTCACATACACACACATGCACACATTCATCATTTAAACACACATGTGCACACATACACACATTCATCATTTATACACATACAACATACATTTGTCATATATGCACATACCTGTACACTTATCAGACACACATTATATATACATATACAATCAAATACACACACATGCTCATGTACATAATACACACATGCACACATATACATATGTAATACACACATCATACACACATACGCACATTGATCATTTACCATACATGCATCATACACACATGCACACATACATTATATACACATTCATCATGTATACACATAGATACATCATGTAAACTTGTACACTCATCATACACCCATACACACATCAGGCACACACATACGCACACATGGACACCCACACACATCATTCACACACACACAGGCACACACACATCTCTAATTTTGTGTGCTACTTTGCAGACTGACATAGAGCTGGCAGCAGGAAGTCTGTCTTCATCTTACTCATGAGTCTGTTGCCTGCCTGTCTCTGTCTTCATCTTACCCATGAGCCTGTTGCCTGCCTGTCTCTGGATTTCTTATGTCGAATTCTAACCCTGTTTGGCATGCACTTTTAAAGTTGCCTCTAATCTCTTTGAGGAGACCAAGTATAGCCAATAATTAAACAGTCCAAGAATTGGCACAGCAGTCATAGAAAGGATATCACACAGGGCATCTGGAAGCCTGAGTTCCAGTCTGGGCTCTGCCACACACTGGCTGTGCAGCCTTAAGTCAGCTACCTGACCTCTCTAGACTTACTGTTCTCATTTTTAATGTAAAGGAACTTGATTAATCATTTTCAAAATGCTTTCAACCAAAAGAAGTATAAATCCAACCCCTTTTTCTCTATGAAAATTATACTTCTATTGCCACTGAGAACTGTTATATACAGTTGGTTCCTGTTTTATATAAAACAGATAATTTTAGAATATGAAAAATGTGCCTATCAAAAATAAAGTATATAAAAAATAGGACACCTGCTATATTGTAAAAAACATTTGATGCCTATGAGAACATGTAAGATGAGCTGTTACCAATAAATATTTGCTGGGACTGGAGAGAGATGGCTCAACAGTTAAGAGCACTAGCTGCTCTTCAGAGGGCCCAATGGTAGCTAACAACCATCTGTAACTCCTGATCCAGGGGAATCTGACGCCCTCTTCTGACCTACATGGGCATCGCACTACCCTTGTACACTTACATAAATGAAGACAGTATATGCATACACATAAAATAAAAATGATAAATAAAATATTTTTAAAATAAATATTTGTTCATCAACTCTCAGCTCTTGTAATTTCCCCAGAAAAGTCCCATTTGATGCAAAACCTCCCCATGAAACCTGTGGAATAACAGAAAGAGTCTGACATTTATGGTGAGCACAGATTCACATTCCAGTCCAACATATATTAACCAATTTATTAGTTTTGTGTTTTTTAATATGTTACTTGAGCTCTCTGAGTTTCTATGCAAATAAAATGGACAAAGAGAAAGCTATCTTGCAAAGTCTGAAAATTAAATAAACCAATTTGTACTAAGCACTAAGAACATGCTAGATTTTCAAAAATTAGTCCTTTATATTTATAATTTACCTTGTCCAAGTCATATCATAGTAATTTGCTCTTTCCGATATACATACATATATGTATATATGTGTGTGTGCAATATATATAAAATATTATATATATAATAGGGTTTATGGAGTCTTAGCATCCATCAGCTGGAGCCTAATCAATCTACCAAGAGTCCCATTCTTCAAGACACTCTCTTTTCCCCTCATATCAGCCTTCAATTGCCAAAAGTTCCCTAGGTTGGGTTTGGATTTCTTACCTATTTCCTCAGGTCTATGCTGGGATTTCATCTGATGATTTGTGTTTCCATGTGACTTGTGAATGCTGTCACCACTCCTGTATGTTCATATATGCAACTAACTAGCTGTCTGGAAAACTGTTCCCAACAAATAAAATTTTTTATTTTCTTTTTTTATTTTACATGTAGGAGTGTTTTGCTTACATAAAAGTATACAACGTATCTACAATTCCTGTAGAGGACAGAAGAGAGCATTGGATCCCCTAGAACTGGAGTTACAAAAGATTGTTAGCCATGTTGTGGGTGCTGGGAACTGAACGTAGGTCTTCTGTGAAAGTAGCCAGTGCTCTTAACTAGTAATTTGCTCTTTCCGATATACATACATATATGTATATATGTGTGTGTGCATGTGTGTGTATGTGTATATTCTTGCCAAGTTTAGATGTACAGAATATTGCCCAGTATACCTTATGATGTTACATTTACCCAGGCAATAGCTTAGAAATCATCTTATACCGTGCTGATTCTTTCCAACAAATGTTTTATGTCAAGGAATATTTCAGTCAGTTTAAGGTGACACTTGGCCAACAATCTACTAGCAAATGTATTTATTTTTTCTTGTAATAATATAGGTATGTAAGCACAAATATCCACACATCTACCAGATGCGTCTTTGCATATGAACAAGTATGTGTACACATTTTAAAGGTGTGTTATAAATGTAGACCTTTGTTCACCAATAGCAGCACTAATGTCAGCTGCCTTTATGTGATAATGCTGTACTTCTGTTCTACTTATACAACCTTTCCTAGTTCTAGAAGAAAAATTTCAAACAAGAAAATGAGAACAGTTCCTCAGACCTCACTCTTCTAGAAGATGTTAGTATTTTACTCTACAGCCAATTGTGTCTATGGAGACCTGAAAAATTCTAATAATTACTTGATATGATTCCCATATTTTGTCAGTCTTTTTAGAAAGTAATAGGCAGCCCCACATGACGGGGAACACTTGTAATCCCAGCACTCAGGAAGCAGAGGCAGGAGGACTGTCAGTTAGTTACAAACATGGGACACATGGTGAGACAGTTTCAAAACAAAAAAAAATGGTGAGAGATATGAAGTTGAGTGAGGGATTGGGGGCCTGGGGAGTGGATCTGGGAGGGTAGGAGTGAATGGTAAACATGATAAGAATACATTATATGCATGGATGAAATTCTCCAAGAATTCATATAACATATTAAACAGTGTATCTTCTTACTTGCCATTAAAAAAAAAATTTTTTTTGGTTGGTTTTGTTTTTTTGAGACAGGGTCTCCCTGTAACCCCAGCTGGCCTAGAACTCCCTATGCAGATGAGGCTGGCCTCGAACTCACAGAGATCTGCCTGCCTTTGCCTCTGGAATGCTGGGATGCAAGGTGTGCACCACCATGCCCAGCTTACAATTTCTTTTAAGCTATTTTGTGTTCTGTTTTAGACAATTGCCCATCAAGTCAGTATTCTATCATCTGATGTGCTCAGGGTTTCTACAAAAGGTTTTGTATTATCAATAAAACATGGGCTCTTTAAACAAATAAATACTTAAATCTGGGTCAGGATAAGTTCATAGGACTATAATTAATTAAACAAAGAATACAGTGATTCAAAAGCTTATGGTAAACATTGATCATTCTTCAGAAAAGTTATACCAATTAGTCCCACACCAAGAATTGCTCTTGATCTTACATTTGCCCTGACACTGCAAATTATTATTTAAAAAGAAATCTTTGTCACATTCAGAGATGAAAGATACTGCCTCATTATACTTTTTAATTGGTATTTATTTGATTACTTGTGGCCCTTTGGACTTTCTTCCTCCAGGGAACTATTTATGCCGTTTGTCCATTTTTCCTAGTAGGGTGGCCTTCCATATTTTATCAACATTCTGCACAGAAAATGAAAACATCATTCAAGTACTAAACTCAGTCTAAATTCCATTATGATGCAAAGTAATTGTAGGTGTTTAATGCTATTTACAAATCATAGATCAGTTTTATTTCACCGTCGAAATAGAAAGTTGCATTCACAATTAAGTCTGTCTCCTCAGTAGAACTCAGTCAAGTAAGACAAACACCCCTAAATTTGGACTCTAAAACTGTTCACATTCTTATGGCCACAAAATACTATTCTAACATCATTATGAAAGTACCTAATATATTTCTGTGTTCGCTTCATTTATTACATGCCATAATGGGGCTGCATATATTTAACGCTGGTTATGCACAATTAGCACCTGGTGATTGTCTTGTCACTGTAACCTTACAAGACAAACTTCCTGGATGCAGGGAGCCAGCTCATTTTCATCAGTCAGGCGGAGCAGACAAATTTGGTGCCCTGAATACAGAAGGTTTGCAAGACAGGAGATGCTCCCATGGCTTTGAAGTTTGTTTGCAGACCCCCCGCCCCGGGTGCAGCCACATCCCACCAAAGCTGTTTCCAGGGAAATATACAAGGAGGTCATTTGTGGGCATTTTCCCTTAAGCAAACTCTGCTGACATCTGAAAGTATGGTATTACAGTTTATGAATTTCTCTCAATAATCAACTTACTCTATAATATTTACTTATTGTATTGATTTATTTATCTTTACAGTACCAGGAATTGAACCCAGGGCCTTGAACATTCTTGGCCTTGAACATTTTGAGACAGGGTTTCACTAAGCTATCCAGGTTGGTCTTGAACTCATTTATTTTTAAGGAATGAAAACACTGAGATAGACTTTGCAGAAGCTGAAGTAGATAAAATCTATTTACTTAAAGAAACTAGATGTGTTGAGAACTCTGAGTGAGATAAGACATCAGAAATTCACAGAAGAGCGTAATCAGAGCTGTATGTATCTGTACTGAGGGAAGAGACATCTGCCCTTGATGTCTGGGGGAGCACACTGGGGATGACTGCTGAGTTTTAAAAAATCCCCAAACCTTATTGGGTTGTGGATGGTGGGACAATGAGACAAAGTGGGCAGTGGGTGAGGGATTTTCCTGGCAGATGACACAGTGTGTTAAGTTATGGAGTCAAGAGAAAAGTGGTTCAGGACACGAGTTAGCTCAGAATGTTCAAATTCAGGATTTGTCAGGAATGTGGAAGAGTAGAAAGAATCTAGCAGAGTTGTGACCAGGAGATGCAATTGTAAGGCAGGACGTTATTGAACAAAGCCAAAAAAAAAAAAAAAAATTTAAGGAGGTAGAGGGCTGAGGAGGTAGAGGGCTGAGGAGGTAGAGGGCTGAGGGAAGCAGGCTAATATATACAAAGTATGATATGTATATAAAAAAAACATAGTGATCAAATTCATTACTTCACTAAGCTAAACTAAAAATATTAAATAAAATAATCGATAAAGCAGTATAAATCTTCCAAAAAGTACAAATATTAGAATATTCTAAAATAAGCCTTTGTTTTACGTGTGTGAGGGGCATGTTTGTGAGTGTGCACAGGGATGTATGTAAGGATCAAGGCTATAACACAACCTTGGGCTTCTCAGGACCTGTCATCCTTGCTTTCTAAGTCAGTGAGACAAGGTCTTTTACTGAGACCTGAGACTGGCTGATTTGGAGGGTCTGACTGTCTGGGACACCCTAGGAATCTGTGTCTTTCCACTTCACCAGCACTTTTTTTTAAATTTTGAGTTCTAGGGATCAAACTCAAGACCTCATGCTTGAACAGCAAGCACTTTACCAGTAGACTGAGCCTTCTCCCCAACCCCATGCATTTTTCTTTCTTAACAGTTCTAAACTGCTATGGTGACCCCTCACCTTAACAGTAGTACCAGCTATGATGGTGCTGACCTGTTAATACACACACAGCATCCTCTAGCCAACACCATGTTAGTAACATTTTATGTTTCCTACGAATGTTGAATTTCATAATGAGCTGGTTATATAATGTTGGAAATTAGTTTTTCTTACAAAATCACAGTTAACCACTTATTTTGTTAAGCATTTTATACCAGCATTGTTTCTTCAAGTCTATATTTGGTGTGTGTGTGTGTGTGTGTGTGTGTGTGTGTGTGTTCATGTGGGTGTGGGTGTATAGGTGCATGTGCATGAGGCCAGTGTTCAACATCAAGTATCTTCTGAAATTTCTCTCCATTTTGTGAGACAGAATTTCTCACTGAACCTCAATCTTCTAATTCAGCTAATCTGTCTGACCAACAAGCCCTGGGGCTCCTCCTGCCCTGGCTCCTCAATTCTGGGATTGCAAAGCTTTTTATGTGGGTACCAGGAGTTCAACACAGGTCCTTATGCTTATGTGAGGGGCACTTTACCTTCTCCCCAGTCCCTCTGTGGGATACTTTTAAAGACAATGATGATCTTAACTGAATAGCAGCCATGATCTTCCCATAACTGCAGCTTGTCAACACTTTGCACTGTTCTGTTTCAGTTATATGACAATCTTCACCCATTTTTATGTCATCTTGACCTTTAAGGATGATTGAAATGTACATAAAATATACCTTACTCAGCAAGATTTTAGCCATGAAATATTTCAGATAGGAATACCTTAATACTTGAGATAAATATTTTCTCATTTTTCGATATTCTATCATTTTCTCTGTCTCTCTATAGTTCTCTATATTTCTCTCTCTCCCTCTCTCTCTCTGTCTCTGTCTCTGTGTGTGTGTGTGTGTAGAAGATAGTCTGCATACCATTCAGTGGGATGTATAACATGTAACATCTCATCAAATGGTAGTTAGAGTTTTAAAAAAATTGTACAAGTGGGCTGGGCATGGTGGCACACACCTTTAATCCCAGCATTCGGGAGGCAGAGGCAGGTGGATCTCTGTGAGTTCAAGGCCAGCCTGGTCTACATAGTGAGTTCCAGGACAGCTGGGGCTACAGGGAGACTCTGTCTCAAAAAGACTAAAAAAACAAGAACAAAACAACAACAACAACAAAAGATTGTACAAGCTAGGCATGGCGGTACATGCTTTTAATCCTAGCACTCAGGAGGCAGAGGCAGACAGATCTCTATTAGATCAAAGTCAGCTTGGTCTGTCGTTCCAGGCCAGCTGGGCCTATAGGGAGACCCAGTCTCCAAATAAATAAATAAATAAATAAATAAATAAATAAATAATAAATAAACAAACAAATTTAAAAATTAAAAGGTTGTGCAATATTAGACATAATAGGGAAGCCATGCCCATGAATTCGCCACACTATGGTAGCCTAACAAGATCTGCATAAAGACAAAAACAGTTGACATGCTGATGTGGGTGGGGAATTGCATGTGGTCCCACCTCTAGAAGACAGACAGTGAGTGGATGCTGAGGGAGGGAGAATCAGTTTTCTGCTGAGACTAGCTCCCTGAGAGGTTATCTGATCCCAAGTGGGCAGCCCTGAATACATACATGAGCACCACTAAATAGACTCAGTGCATTATGTGTGTATGTATATATGTATATTTATAGATGTATGCATATGTAACAAGAATAATCAAAGAGAGGTCAAGAAATTGAGAGGGAATTGGGGGGCATGTGAAGGTTAGGGGGACTTGGAGGGACAGAAATAATGCAAATACAGTACTCATGTATGAAATTCATGTATGAAGTTTTAAAAATACTCTTTAGAATAAAATGACAAGATGAAATGGAAAACCCGGAGGGCAAGGGTTAATATTTCCAAGCCTGCTTCCTATAGCCTGTCTACATTCTGGTAGGAGCCATGGGTTTTTTTCTTGTTAAAAGGCCATTGGTGACACTGACTTTCTAAGTTGGATGAGGAACAAGCCTGATCATGTTACATACATGCTTAGCTCTAGCACACTGAGTACTTTCTAGAAGGTGGCTTTTTATATACATTCTAAATATTGATGTAGGAGTTTACATATTTCATGGCTACACTTTGATACGATCTTCCAAAAGTGATGAGTAATACTGAAATGAACAGTGACGGTTCCATCGTCCTTCACCACCAGCGACGGCAGGAAAAAGGGCCCCGTTCTGAAATAGCGTTCCAGTCTCCTGTGCCTCGCGTGGGAACCTCCCTACAGTCCTGTCTGTGCGGCATCTGTGTTTCTCATACAGAGAGAACTGAGTGTGGACCTCGTGCTGACAGAGGGTAGGGGAGAGAAAATGAACGCGGAGCTAGATCTCCTGAGCATCTGGTTCCGTGACAATGACCTTGATCTTATTCACCTACGAAAAAAAATACTCTTTCAAGGATTCTGAAGTCAAGAGTGGCAGGACACCACAGGGTGGGAAGGGCTAACAGAAACCAACCTCTTTAAGCGATGGTTAATAGAATTTGAGCGCCTCAAAAGAAATTAAACAAAAAATTTTAAAATTACATTAAAAATATTTCCAGATAAGTGTTTTTTTCTTTTCTTTTTTAAAGGAAGAATGACTTGGTAACAATAAAAAGCAAAGAGTACTTTGTTGACTATATTTATCCCAATGTGGCATTTTATCATTATGAGTTGAAATTAATTTCAACAGTAATATAAACTGTCTTGAACAATAATTAAATATGTTCTATATGCTGTTTTACATAATCTCCCATAAAAGAGAAAGGTCTAATTTGGCTCCCAAGGGGAGGCTAAAATAGAGGAGTATTTCCATTTATTCAATACATCTTAACAGTCAGGATATCTACAAAAACTGGTTTATTCAAACATTGCTGTTTAAATTCAATATTTGAAGCATACAGCCTGAAACTAGTAAAAAAGGAAAATATACTTAAAGTCCCAAACCTAAATGTGCATCTTGTCCAGTAGCCTTAACCACAAACAAATCCTGGATTTGGAGATCAGAGTTGAGCCTCTACTTTCAATCAACATCATCAGCAGGCAGTAATCCTGGGGAAAAAAAGTAAATTCCACAAATAAACAGACCAATTTTCCTTTAAGAGGAAAGCTAATTCTTTTCAATCTACTTTTTTTATTACACTATTTTCCCCTCTATCTACTTAGCTGGTATAAGGATAAATTTCCAAAGCTACCCAGTTGGAAAATAAATAGGTTCACTGTTTGTCTAGAATTCCAATCTTTGCAAATGTAAATCAGTCCAACTGCTCCTCATTTAAACCTTCAACTTCACAAAACATTAAAGGGTGGCTTTCACCACACAATTTAATCCATCCACTAAGATTTCTGCCTGGGTGTCATTTGAAATTGACTATCTGATAAAGAAAGACCACTATCAAAGGTCAGTAAGGTCAACCTGTATAATTACAAAGAGTTGTACTCAGTCACCTCCACCAAATACCACTGTTTGAAGGTTAAATTGTAACAATTAAATATATATACAGATCTCCCCAGAGTAACTTTATTGTTAAATGTACTGGAAAGAGCAGATACATTTATTTCTGACCTTAATTGTGTCCGAAGTGTCACCCATTGGGAAATTATACCAAAAAACCACTTATTAGAAACATTACAATCTTGCACTTTAAACAATGCTTCATAAAATAAAAGGCGTAATTAGCTACAGGGAGCTGGCTTTATTTATCACATCGGTATTAAGAAGTTCATCCACGTTACTCCATTCAGTTTATTGGAAGGGCTCCAAGAAATGACATCTACTATTTCATAGTTGGGGGATTTGCTACAAAGAATGATAGCTCAGCTTCAGACCCCATGCTAAAGCAACTTTCACCAGACAATGAGTAATTCCAAATTACCAAGATTTAGCCACATTTTCATAAGAGAGTGAAAGGGATCTTTCAGTGGAAAACTCTAAAAAACCTGCTATTTCCCAATTCTTTGCTTCATCATAATGCCTTTAATATCTTTATTAAATAGACAAAGGGCCAGTATAAAATCTTACATGGTCACGGCCAAAAAGAATTAGTGTCTTTCTTCATTTTATATTAATGAATATATATGTAGATAAGTATTTCCTTCTTTCCAGAGTGTTGGGGGGGGTGAAAAATATCACTATTAGTGCCCAAAATGTTTACCCTGATTTCCTACAATGTGTATATAGAAAGATGAGCTTTTCAAATGTTTTATACAAGGTTTTATTAAATGAAACTAGTTTTAATTTTTATAATGAAGGCAACTTCCTGAGCTATCGTTCAGATTTCAGAAATTACCATGGGAAATTGTTATTAGGAGAATACATCTTCATCTCAAATCAATAGATCTGAACAAAGCAGTCTTACCACAATTTTTTTTTCAATGTTTTCAGATTTTGTGTCGGAGACAAATTTTTCTTAAAGAATAACATGATCCTCTGCCAGACGGACTACGAGGAAGGTTTAATGAAAGAAGGTTATGCACCCCAGGTTCGCTGATTCATCAAAATAAACCCATTCATAATACAAAGCACTACATTCTTCTATCTTTTTTGCTCTACGTGTATATAAGAATTGACACAGGAACCCACTGAATAGCGTAGTTATAGGGAAACAGGCTGGTTATATGGAATCAAAGGCAGACTGCATCTGTATGTAGTGAAATTGCCCCAGTTCAGAGTTGAATGTTTATTATTAAAGAAAAACAATTAATGTACATATTGCTGGATTTTTTTGCTTGCTATTCGTTTTTGTGTCAGTTGGCATGAGATGTTTATTTTGGACTATTGTATATAATGTATTGTAAAATTTGAAGCACAAATGTAATACAGTTTTATTGTGTTACCATTTGTGTTTTGTTTGCTTCTTTGTATTGTTGCATTTAGTACAATCAGTGTTTAAACTTAACTATATATTTATGCTTTCTGTAACTACCAGCTATTTTAAATGAGCTGTAACTTTCTAGTAAAGAATTGAAGAGCAAATCTCACTAATGACACACAGATAGATAAACCAAGTCTATCAGCATTAGAAATACTAAAAGTAAATAAATAAACACACACACAAAGCATTCTAGTGACACCCACTTTCTTTGCTACTATAATTTAGCCTATCCGTGTTCTCATGAGAAACCCTTATTTTCAGGGGGTTAAAGAGCAGCTTTAAAAAATGCATAAAATTTCACCTTAAAGCACTTTCATTTTATACCAACATGAAAAGTGCCATTTTTAGAATAACTTTAAAGCTTAGCAGTATCCTTTTAATATCCTTTATTATACTCTTTATCTACACAAAAGCTTTATTTTGCTTTTTTTCAACCACACCCTTACGTAAACTAGTGCCTTTGGGTATCATGTAAAAATTTTCCAAAGGGTTACTTAAAAAAAAAAAAAGGTGTTACCGCAATTCTGAGATAATTTTAAATTATAAATTTCTTGTATAAATGTTGCCCAGGGAGATGAGGGCTTAATATCTTTATGATTTAATAAATTGATGGCACTGAACAGATTTGAGTGTGAATCTACTGAAATTAGGATAATGCACATTGAGGCTGAGATGGTGTTTGAGTCATGTAGTGACCAGCCAACAGCAACATAATAATGTTTATAGAATCGTCTAGAAGAAGAGAAACAAAGGAACCAATAAACTGTTGAGAACTATGTTGGTGATTACATAATTTACCTGCCACTTATTTCAATGTTCGAAACACTGAATTTGGCACGTCTCTCAACCTTTCATCCTCTTCACCATCTTCCAACTCAGAATGTGTAATGTTTCAGCCAAAATCTATTATTCCGGTTTTTTTGAAGGTGAAGTGTTTTCCCCTTATATAACTGGTAGCTGATGAAGAAGAATGTTCTAGAAACAGAAACTGTGAAATATGGTTACTTAAATTACGTTTAAGAAAATAAAAACCAAGAATACAGTCCCTTCTTCTGTTTACACTTTGATGCTTTATGTCTGCAGTGAACTTCTCCACAAATCTCCCTCCACTGAGGCACCATGAACAGTGTTTTTCTCCAGCAAACTTGGTGCTTGAGTTTTCTTATTTTGTTCTTTATCACTTATAAGAACTATCCCCCACCATTATTTACGTTATCTATCTTGTCCAACCAGTATCTGCATTACAGATGATAAATATTAAACCTGAATTCTTGATTTGGGGCCAAAATATTAAGCTGAAAATAGTGCTGGTGTGGCTTTGAGCTGTTTTGAAACAGAGCTTTATTATGTGCATGCATGAGACTCTGAGTATTGCCTCTCATTTTTAAGAAAATGATTCTGTGAAAAATGAATGATAATCATTTTTGCAACTGCTTCATAGTTAAGAATGTGCAAGTCCCACATCCTCCAAATCTGAAGATAGGATGAAAGCTTTCAAAAGTAGTCATGTGGGGTCCTCCAGGTGATTATTATATCACCCTCAGCCCTGTACATTTGTCTTATGAAGAAGTAGGCCTTGTGTAGCCTAAAACACACAAAAGAAATCTGGGAAGGAGAGGCATGCAAGAGGTCTTCCATAATCTGGCCTTGCTAGTCCCTGCTACTGTTGTTTAAAAATTCACATGGGTATACAACTTTGTCAGTATGCTTTTCAATGATCCTCTGGTTTTGAGATCTAACTGGTTTTGAATATTCTCTGTGAATATGTTGGCATATGTGTAAGCTGGGAACAAACTTCTCTCACAGCTTCTTGAAGCTCTATACCACCCCCAAACCAAACAGGATTTCTACCACTTTTCCTTAATCTCTGGGGAAATTGCTTACCTGGATTAAAGATTAAGGCCTTAATCTGTTTAGATTGTCTTTCATCTCCATGAAATCGTGAAACAAGACAAGAATAATTTTCCAGCTGTAGGATGTTTTCCAGCTAATTGGCCACAAATAATAGCATTTTAGACCTGCAGTAGTCAGCCAGTTGTCCTGAAGACTCAAAACCCCTGAGTTCTTGTCCATTTTCTTTATGTGGTATGCCCTTGACATCATAGAATCCAATGCTCCCGTAGGACACCTGCTATGAGATTTCCATTTGTCAGGCCTCCCTTCCTGCAAGCATCTCTGTAGGTTATTTATGATGAGGGACCAGGCGCCTCCATCCCACCAGTGTGCTGAGCTTGAAGGCTGACCTGTGCTTGTAATTTCACTTTCATCTTGCTTAATAAATATCTGCTGGATTCTTTCAGTCTTTTTAAAATATTTGGATTCATGTTTTCAATAAAAAGGATATTCCACTATTTGGTTGCACTCAATTGGCAAAGACAAAATGGTCTCAAGGAAGAATATGCTGTCCATGAAAATGGGAAAAATTTACTTTCTAAAGAAGAAACTACCTCAACTGCGTTCTCCAATAAGCCCATTTCAGATCTATTTACTTTTGTGGGGAAAAAAAATAAAATTGTCAAAAGGGAAGGTAGCAATTTCTGGGTATAACTTTTATACATTTCTATAAATTTTAAGTGATCTTTCTGAAAGTGACTGTGTTGCTTGCGTCAGGCTAAATTTCAAATTTCCTATTTCCTACATAATGAATCAAAACAACAACAATAACAAAAGCCCTCCACTAAACCCTACATTTTCAAGAAAGACACATTGCGCCTTAATTGAAACCGGGTAGAGAAAATTATATCTGTAGTAAAACATACTGCACACAGTTTCTCTTTAACTATCACTTTAGGCGAACCACTCTGTGAAGAGTCACTTAAACAATTTCATAGAAATGATATAGGCCAAACATGTTTAGTGCTCACTTCGGTAAGTTGCAAAAACAATCTGCATGTTTATTGTAATAGGCCATTAGCACAGAACACAATTTAAGCAAAAGCTTTTCGATCATTACTTTTTCTTAAAAACACCATTATACATGTTTTTTAATGTGATTTTAATGCGATTTAAGGTAATAGAAAACAAAGGATTATGCAATCATTACTTCACTTGGCCCTTACTGAGGGCCTACTGCATGTCAGACACTGTTGCCATGTGCACGTGGGGACACCTGGGGACAGGCTATAGGGATCTGGTCATTTGAGATGTGTTCAACTCATCTAAAAGTTGTCCATAACAAGCCAGCAAATATGAAGGCCTTCTAGAACCTTCTCAGTATATCATTGGCATGAAACCCTCAGAAAATATCTCAGGTAATCAATGTGTTCAAAGAATTATCTCGCTCAAATTACTCATTAACTCAATAGCACATAATAAAAAGGAACATCAATTAATTAATGAGTCACCCTCAGATCACTCTGATTACAACAGAGTTCTGTTGAAACAGCAGTCATGAATGGAGCTATCACTCTTTATTCATTGCTTGCAACTGGCTGAAACCAGTTTCATATTTAGCACGTCTATAGGTAATTGTGTGATTAGTATCATTAATGGAAGATTCAGAGAGCTCGCGTCTCGTAAGACCTTGAAAAATAAAGAAAACTCATTTTGACTACAGCTTCCTTTGAAGTTGAGCTATTAGAAGGGTGTTATCTTTCTAAAAGGTACAATTTTGCATTTATAATAAAGATTTAGAACGTCCATATTGAACCTGTCAGGGTTAGCTCTTAAAATACAGATGATTTTTTACAATGCTTTGATGCATACATAATTTAAT